TACTATGATGATGCCTTTCACAAGACCTCTGTCTTGAGTAACTTCTGCTTCTTGATGGTTTTCTTTGTGTTTGTGTCCTCATCATTTTCAGATTAATTTATTTATTTATCGAGACAGGATCTCTCTCTGTTGCACAAGCTGAAGTGCAGTGGCATGATCACAACTCACTGTAACCTCTGTCTCCCGGACACAAGCCTCCCACTACAGCCTCCCGAGTAGCTGGGACCACAGGCACACGCCACCACGCCTGGCTAGTTTTTGTGTTTTTTGTAGAGACAGGATTTTGCCATATTGCCCAAGCTGGTCTCAAACTTGTGAGCCCAAGCAATTCGCCCACCTTGGCCTCCAAAGTACTGGGATTACAGATGTGAGCCACCATGCCCAGCCCATTTTCAGAAGAATGTTCTTTGTCATTATGCTCCTCAGAAGTATATTTCTTAAAGGATTTGTTGTAGGATTCCTGAGTCCTTGCCACATTATGAAATAGGCTTATTGTTTTCCTGCCTGAGTCCACAGTGTCTTCAATTCAGCCACTTTGCCCATCAGCATGCTGTTTGTATTTTAGTCCTTCATTTTCTTTCCCTTGACCTTGATTGTAATCTTGAATAATAATGTTTTGAGTCTCTAAGAAAAACAGATACATCTGACAGCTCTTCCCCTTCCCCACCCACCCTAAGCCACCACTATCTGGGCATGTCTTTTTCTGGTGCTAGTCCATCTTGTCCTGGATAACTAGCCTGTCTTGAGAACCCAGTCTTCATTTCATTAAACATCTTGAATGAAAACTGCCTTTTGGCACAGTGCTGCTGCCAAATACAGTCTGGCTCTACTCACGTGTCTTCTGGCTGCCACAGTTCAGAGCTCAGGCCACTAGGGTGGCACCTCCATTTCCTGCTTTTAACAGTACCAGCCACCTCAGAGCTTCACCACACACTGACTAGCTCCTTCTAGGGTCCTGGATGGCACCCTGGGGATCTGCCATTGCTTTTTAAATTTATTTTTTACATTTAGCTCATTAATATCTATTAGGTGTTTTTATGTCTACATTGAAATAGGTAACTTTATTTTTCTCCCAAAGGATAACTGTTCCAGTGTTATCAGTTAGCTTGTTTTTACCCAACCTAAAACACGACCTTTATTTTAAAAATTGCATTTTATAAACGTGTATGTTTCAGTAATTTACATTCTGTTCCACTGATCTATATTCCCATTTTAGAATTTTATTTTATTTTTAAAATTTATTTAGAGAGAGGGTCTTGCTCTGTCACTCAGACTGGAATGCAGTGGTGCAATGATAATTCATTCCAGCCTTGAATTCCTGGGCTCAACCTCCCACCTCAGCCTTCCAAGTAGCTGGGACTACAGGTGTGTGCCACTGTGCCTGGCTAATTTTTTTATTTTTATTTTTTTGTAGAGATGATGTTTTGCTCTGTTGCCTTGGCTGGTCTCAAACTCCTGGGCTCAAGGGATCCTCCTGTCTCGGTCTCCCAAAGTGTTAGGATTATAGGGATGAGCCACTGTGCCCAGCCTTAGTATTATACTATTTTAGTTAACAAAGCTTTACAATGAATTCTGAGATCTAGGAAAACAAGTCATTCCTTATTATCACTGTTTTTCCAAATTTTCTTAACAGAGTAGTCTTTCACATTTAATTTTCTGTAAGAACTTTAGATTTTGTCAAGTTTCATTTTCTAAAATCCTATTAGGGACTTCTAAATTCATTTTCTTCCTTTAAAACTATAGAAAGTGAATTTTAAAAACACATACACATACAAGGATAGAGAGTACAGGAAAGGAGACAACAGCAATGAAACTTTTGAAAGCAGACAAGGATCTGACTGCCTGACAATTGATTTGGCAAGCCACATCCCAGCCAACAGTAGCGAAAGCTGGCAGCATACAGTTTCACTGGGGTGTGGTTCTGGAGCAGACAGGGAAAGCTGTCTGAGAATGAATTCATTCCCTAAGTCCTTTTCCCAATTCCAGGTCTCTGGTCAATTGCACTTACCCCAGCACAAGACTACAGGTTTATTCCCTGCAGAGGATGAAAGAAAGTGTCTCTGGCTTAGGGGACACAAAGTGTACTTGATGGGACAAGTTGGGGATTAAATGGTCATGTGTTTTCTGATTGTTGAACACTAACTTGCCAGCCCAGTCAGCAACGACATTTCTGGCAACTGTATTTTATTCTCCAGGCAGGAGAAAGATTTCACTGGGGAAGCAAACAGCTGTGGGGGTGGGCAACAAATATCCATGATTGTAGAGCTTCCAGTCAGCCTTTAATTCTTGTGAATGAAAAACCAAGGATTATCAGACATCTAAGGAAAACCTCTAACATAGGAGACAAAATGAACAAACAATAAAAAGTAACTTAGAAATGGATACCATATAAAGAAAAGGAAAAAGTTAAAATAATAAAAAAAAAAAAAAAAAAAAAACCAAAAAAAAAAAAAAAACAGACAAACCCAAACCCCTATTCTTAAGCTACAGAGAAAGTCTGGCTAACATGATGAAACCCCATCTCTACAAAAAATGCAAAAATTAGCCAGGCATGGTCCCAGCTACTTGGGAGGCTGAGGCAGGAGAATCACCTGAATGTGGGAGGCTGAGGCTATAGTGAGCTGAGATCACACCACTGTACTCCAGCCCGGGTGACAGAGTGAGACCCTGTCTCAAAAAAAGAAAAATTTAAAAAGCCACAGAGAAATAAAAGAAGACAAACATAAATGGGTGCTAAACAATCAAAAACACTCATCCAGAGCAAAATGGTCCCTTAGAAATAAAAAACCTGAGAGGAAATGGCAAAACAAAAAACCCACTTTAATTGAAGTATTAGAAAATTAAGTTAAGCAACTGTCTTAGAATGGGCAGAGATGGAAAATGGGAGAGAAAATATAAGAAAATAAGACAGAGGCCAGGTGCAGTGGCTCACATCTGTAATCCCAGCACTTTGGGAGGCCAAGGCAGGGGAATCATTTGAGGTCAGGAGTTCTAGACCAGCCTGGCTTCGAACATGGTGAAACCCCGTCTCTACTAAAAACACAAAAATTAGCCAGGCGTGGTGACGCACACCTATAATCCCAGCTACTTGGGAGGCTGAGGCAGGAGAATTGCTTGAACCCAGGAGACAGAGGCTGCAGTGAGCTGAGATTGCACCACTGCATTCCAGCCTAGGCTACGGAGTGAGACTGCATCTCAAAAAAGACAGAGGTCCAGTACTCGAATATAAGCAGCTCCAGAAAAATTGATTAGGAATGTGGAAAGGAAGGAATTCTCAACAAAATAATTTGACAGAATTTCCCAGAACTGAAGGACTTGAACTGCAGGATTATAAGGCCTTACCAAGTACCCAGCACAGTGACTGAGAAATAGACCCATTTAGCTACGTTGTCCTTACAGTGAAATATTCTGGCACTGTTAAAAATGTAAAGATTTATGAATAGCACTGATAGGAAATTATTGTATGTGGTTTTTGGCATACGTGTATATGTCTGTTAGATATGTTATCTGAGAGCAGAATTACTAGGTCATAGCGCATTAGTACATAATGTCTAATAGTTTTCCACAGTGGTTGGTATCTGGCACAACACAGTGCACTGGTTATCAGCTGCAGGGAAGGAATCTAAATGCTTTTGCCCATTGCATCTTGGTATCAGAGTCACCAAGGGAAACAGTGCAAGCACTGGATAAAGCTTTACTTACATAGAGGAGGCAGAGCAGGACCAGCTCCAGTAGTGTGCTTTGGTTCCTCATGGCATGTAGGTTTATCTCGCCAGCAGCTGGCTGCGACAGGGTGGTTTGCCTCCAAGCACCCGCCTTGTGCTACAGTGGAATGGGGTGGCTTGCCTCTGAGCACCCGCCTTGTGCTACAGTGGAATGGGGTGGTTTGCCTCTGAGCACCC